AATCTGAATGTTTAACTCACCATCATCCCATCTCAATCTGAATGTTTAACTCACCATCATCCCATCTCAATCTGAATGTTTAACTCACCATCATCCCATCTCAATCTGAATGTTTAACTTACCATCCTCCCATCTGAATCTGAATGTTTAACTCACCATCCTCCCATCTCATTCTGGAGGTTTACCTCACCATCCTCCCATCTCATTCTGGAGGTTTAACTTACCATCCTCCCATCTCAATCTGGAGGTTTAACTCACCATCCTCCCATCTCAATCTGGAGGTTTAACTCACCATCCTCCCATCTCAATCTGAATGTTTAACTCACCATCATCCCATCTCAATCTGAATGTTTAACTTACCATCCTCCCATCTCAATCTGAATGTTTAACTCACCATCCTCCCATCTCAATCTGAATGTTTAACTCACCATCATCCCATCTCAATCTGAATGTTTAATTCACCATCATCCCATCTCAATCTGAATGTTTAACTCACCATCATCCCATCTCAATCTGAATGTTTAACTTACCATCCTCCCATCTCAATCTGAATGTTTAACTCACCATCCTCCCATCTCAATCTGAATGTTTAACTCACCATCCTCCCATCTCATTCTGAATGTTTAACTCACCATCCTCCCATCTCAATCTGAATGTTTAACTCACCATCCTCCCATCTCAATCTGAATGTTTAACTCACCATCCTCCCATCTCAATCTGAATGTTTAACTTACCATCCTCCCATCTCATTCTGGAGGTTTAACTTACCATCCTCCCATCTCATTCTGGAGGTTTAACTTACCATCCTCCCATCTCAATCTGAAGGTTTAACTCACCATCCTCCCATCTCAATCTGAAGGTTTAACTTACCATCCTCCCATCTCATTCTGGAGGTTTAACTTACCATCCTCCCATCTCATTCTGGAGGTTTAACTTACCATCCTCCCATCTCAATCTGAAGGTTTAACTTACCATCCTCCCATCTCATTCTGGAGGTTTAACTTACCATCCTCCCATCTCAATCTGAAGGTTTAACTCACCATCCTCCCATCTCAATCTGGAGGTTTAACTCACCATCCTCCCATCTCAATCTGAAGGTTTAACTCACCATCCTCCCATCTCAATCTGAAGGTTTAACTTACCATCCTCCCATCTCAATCTGAATGTTTAACTCACCATCCTCCCATCTCAATCTGAAGGTTTAACTCACCATCCTCCCATCTCAATCTGAATGTTTAACTCACCATCATCCCATCTCAATCTGAATGTTTAACTCACCATCCTCCCATCTCAATCTGAATGTTTAACTCACCATCATCCCATCTCAATCTGAATGTTTAACTCACCATCCTCCCATCTCAATCTGAAGGTTTAACTCACCATCCTCCCATCTCAATCTGAAGGTTTAACTCACCATCCTCCCATCTCAATCTGAAGGTTTAACTTACCATCCTCCCATCTCAATCTGAATGTTTAACTCACCATCCTCCCATCTCAATCTGAATGTTTAACTCACCATCCTCCCATCTCAATCTGAAGGTTTAACTCACCATCCTCCCATCTCAATCTGAAGGTTTAACTTACCATCCTCCCATCTCAATCTGAATGTTTAACTCACCATCCTCCCATCTCAATCTGAAGGTTTAACTCACCATCCTCCCATCTCAATCTGAAGGTTTAACTTACCATCCTCCCATCTCAATCTGAAGGTTTAACTCACCATCATCCCATCTCAATCTGGAGGTTTACCTCACCATCCTCCCATCTCAATCTGAAGGTTTAACTTACCATCCTCCCATCTCAATCTGAATGTTTAACTCACCATCATCCCATCTCAATCTGGAGGTTTAACTCACCATCCTCCCATCTCATTCTGGAGGTTTAACTCACCATCCTCCCATCTCAATCTGAATGTTTAACTCACCATCCTCCCATCTCAATCTGAATGTTTAACTTACCATCCTCCCATCTCATTCTGGAGGTTTAACTTACCATCCTCCCATCTCAATCTGGATGTTTAACTCACCATCCTCCCATCTCATTCTGGAGGTTTAACTTACCATCCTCCCATCTCAATCTGGAGGTTTAACTCACCATCCTCCCATCTCAATCTGAATGTTTAACTCACCATCCTCCCATCTCAATCTGAATGTTTAACTCACCATCCTTCCATCTCAATCTGAATGTTTAACTCACCATCCTCCCATCTCATTCTGAATGTTTAACTCACCATCCTCCCATCTCATTCTGAATGTTTAACTCACCATCCTCCCATCTCAATCTGAATGTTTAACTCACCATCCTCCCATCTCAATCTGGAGGTTTAACTTACCATCCTCCCATCTCATTCTGGAGGTTTAACTTACCATCCTCCCATCTCAATCTGAATGTTTAACTCACCATCCTCCCATCTCAATCTGAATGTTTAACTCACCATCCTCCCATCTCAATCTGAATGTTTAACTCACCATCATCCCATCTCAATCTGAATGTTTAACTCACTATCCTCCTATCTCAATCTGAATGTTTAACTCACCATCCTCCCATCTCAATCTGGAGGTTTAACTCACCATCCTCCCATCTCAATCTGGAGGTTTAACTCACCATCCTCCCATCTCAATCTGGAGGTTTAACTCACCATCCTCCCATCTCAATCTGGAGGTTTAACTTACCATCCTCCCATCTCAATCTGGAGGTTTAACTTACCATCCTCCCATCTCAATCTGAAGGTTTACCTCACCATCATCCCATCTCAATCTGAATGTTTAACTCACCATCATCCCATCTCAATCTGAATGTTTAACTCACCATCCTCCCATCTCAATCTGAATGTTTAACTCACCATCATCCCATCTCAATCTGAATGTTTAACTCACCATCATCCCATCTCAATCTGGAGGTTTAACTCACCATCATCCCATCTCAATCTGGAGGTTTAACTCACCATCATCCCATCTCAATCTGGAGGTTTAACTTACCATCCTCCCATCTCAATCTGAAGGTTTACCTCACCATCATCCCATCTCAATCTGAAGGTTTACCTCACCATCCTCCCATCTCAATCTGGAGGTTTACCTCACCATCCTCCCATCTCAATCTGAAGGTTTACCTCACCATCATCCCATCTCAATCTGGAGGTTTACCTCACCATCCTCCCATCTCAATCTGAAGGTTTACCTCACCATCCTCCCATCTCAATCTGGAGGTTTACCTCACCATCCTCCCATCTCAATCTGAAGGTTTACCTCACCATCCTCCCATCTCAATCTGAAGGTTTAACTCACCATCCTCCCATCTCAATCTGGAGGTTTACCTCACCATCCTCCCATCTCAATCTGAAGGTTTAACTCACCATCCTCCCATCTCAATCTGAAGGTTTAACTCACCATCCTCCCATCTCAATCTGAAGGTTTAACTCACCATCCTCCCATCTCAATCTGAAGGTTTACCTCACCATCCTCCCATCTCAATCTGAAGGTTTACCTCACCATCCTCCCATCTCAATCTGGAGGTTTACCTCACCATCCTCCCATCTCAATCTGAAGGTTTACCTCACCATCCTCCCATCTCAATCTGGAGGTTTACCTCACCATCCTCCCATCTCAATCTGAAGGTTTACCTCACCATCCTCCCATCTCAATCTGGAGGTTTAACTTACCATCCTCCCATCTCAATCTGAAGGTTTACCTCACCATCATCATATCTCAATCTGAAGGTTTACCTCACCATCCTTCCATCTCAATCTGGAGGTTTACCTCACCATCCTCCCATCTCAATCTGAAGGTTTACCTCACCATCATCCCATCTCAGTCTGGAGGTTTAACTTACCATCCTCCCATCTCAATCTGAAGGTTTACCTCACCATCCTCCCATCTCAATCTGAAGGTTTACCTCACCATCCTTCCATCTCAATCTGGAGGTTTACCTCACCATCCTTCCATCTCAATTTCATTAGGTTAACCTCTCCATCCTCCCATCTCAATCTGGAGGTTTACCTCTCCATCCTCCCATCTCAATTTCGTTAGGTTAACCTCTCCATCCTCCCATCTCAGTCCGGAGATTTACCTCACAATCCTCCCATCTAAGTCTGGAGGTTTATCTCACCATCCTCCCATCTCAATCTGGAGGTTTATCTCACCATCCTCCCATCTCAATCTGGAGGTTTATCTCACCATCCTCCCATCTCAGTCTGGAAACCTCACCATCCTATCTCAGTCTGGAGGTTTACCTCACCATCCCCCATCTCAGTCTGGAGGTTTATCTCACCATCCTCCTATCTAAATCCTGAGGTTAACCTCACCATCCTCCTATCTCAATTTGGAGGTTAACCTCACCATCCTCCCATCTCATTCTGGAGGTTTATCTTACCATCCTCCCATCTCAATCTGGAGGTTTATCTCAACATCCTCCCATCTCAGTCTGGAGATTTACCTCACAATCCTCCCATCTAAGTCTGAAGGTTTACCTCACCATCCTCCCATCTCAGTCTGAAGGTTTATCTCACCATCCTCCCATCTCAGTCTGGAGGTTTATCTCACCATCCTCCCATCTCAATCTGGAGGTTAACCTCACCATCCTCCTATCTCAATCTGGAGGTGTACCTCACCATCCTCCCATCTCAATCTGGAGGTTTACCTCACCATCCTCCCATCTCAGTCTGAAGGTTTATCTCACCATCCTCCCATCTCACTCTGGATGGCACACCAACAAGGCAGATGCCAGAGACCCCAGTTCAACCTTCAAAGAAGTTATAATAATGGCATAAGTGCTAGTACATCCTCTGTAACCGGAACAGTACACATCTATACCTTAAGGCAATCACTGTTGAAGACGGAGCATCTATAGGTATGCCCTAGATGCTACGATGTTGTTTCTGAGATCATTAATCTTCTATGCTGCAGTTTTTTAAATGTAATATTTGTTTCTATGAAGTCAAAGTTTAATGAAATTTTCTTTGAAGGAAAACATGTTAAATAACTGACCATATAAGGAAGTGTTACCTGAACAAACAGAGAGAGTTTATGCCATCCTCCGCCAGCGGGTAAGTTGTCTGAAATTACTACATGATGCCTGCCTGTAAGAAGCAAAATAGAATAAATGTTTGTTTGTTTTAGTATCCAGAAGCCATGAGTTGTTAACCCTTAGGCTCGGTATTATGGATATCGCAACCTTTCGGCCTTGATTCCATTGTAAATACAGTAAATATGGGAGAAATGTGGCTTGTCTGCCTACCCCCGGGAGTGAACCCGGACCACAAGGAGTTCGTCACCCAGTCACCGCGCAATCCAACTTAGCCAACTACGCTAGAGAGCCGGGCGAATAAATGTTTACAAGATGCAAAACAGATAAATAAATGGAGGTTAAATTACAGTAATTTCTTGTTCTGTTATATTTGAACAATAACACAGACCTGACTTAATGGTCTGGTGATCACACGTGAAATGGTAAGCCACAATCCACAATAACACACACCTGACCCAAAGAATCTGATGATCACAGGTGAAATGGTAAACCACAATAACACACACCTGACCCAAAGAATCTGATGATCACGGGTGAAATGGTAAACCACAATAACACACACCTGACCCAAAGAATCTGATGATCATGGGTGAAATGGTAAACCACAATAACACACACCTGACCCAAAGAGTCTGATGATCACGGGTGAAATGGTAAACCACAATAACACACACCTGACCCAAAGAATCTGATGATCATGGGTGAAATGGTAAACCACAATAACACACACCTGACCCAAAGAGTATGATGATCACACATGAAATAGTAAACCACAATAACACACACCTGACCCAAAGAGTCTGATGATCACGGGCAAAATGGTAAAACACAAAAGCCCAAGAGTTGCACATGAGCGTGCTTGCAAGGGACAGCCATGGTGTTGTAGAGGTTAGATGCATGCCTGCTGACCTGAAGGTCTTGGGTTCAAATCCATATTGAGACAAACTTTTTATTTTAAAATGACTTTTGCTCCCAGGTCGATCCAGCCGAAGATGTGAAGCAGAAGTAAGGGTGGCTGGCATGTCCACTGAGTGCTGATTGGTTAATACAAATGCGTCTAGCATCATATTCCCATTCTCATTTACGTTTGAGTTAGATCCTTCCCAATCTTCATTTATTAATAACCAGAATATCGTACAAGTGACAAAAACTTGGCACAGATGGTTCTTAAACTTTATGCAACAACTACACCCTGGTAAAACATAAGCATGTTAATAGAAATATTCTCGAAAACTATTTAGATGTTCCAGTTATCATGTAAATATGTCCGGTCAGCCGGAGCTTTCCAAACTATGTCCCAACACATGCTGGCTACGGTGGGGAAAATGTGTCAAATTGATTTACCTGTGTGTCCACATCTCTTATGAAAGGTTAGTTTAACCACTGGTTTGTGTGCTAGTAGGCAGAATTACTGTGTCACAAAACTGTTTTTCTGAAAAGTATGTCATCTAAAAAGTGTGTCACCAACAGGAAAAAGTCTGGAAAGCTCTATAGAGAGCACTTACAGATGAGATGTTCCTCTAATAAATGAGATTTCTGTAAAATTGGTGTGCATAGAAAACTCATGCTCAAGAACAAGACAAAACTCTAGAAGTGGATGAAGAACAAAACTCTAGAAGTGGATGAAGAACAAAACTCTAGAAGTGGATGAAGAACAAAACTCTAGAAGTGGATGAAGAACAAAACTTTCCACCAGAGTTTACAGCTGGTGAACGACAAGAAAATGTCCCTGTCAGTACATATAACCAATACACAAATAAGGCAAGAATCCAGGCAAGAGTATGTGTCTAATTTTATACGAAAACGCTGCTGGAACTATGTCGGCCACGCCCTTAGAATGGATAAATCAAGAATTCCTTACCAAGCCCTCATTTGGACACCACAGGGAAAAAGATCTCGTGGAAGACCAAGGGAAACCCTACGTAGAACTATCATCAGGGAAGGCTCACTCATGGGCCACTCAAACATCCAAGACCTACAACAGATTGCAACGAACCGCCATGCATGGAGAGTCATGACCTCTGCCCTATGTGCCGCACTCGACACAAGAGGAAAGACTAACTAACTAAGTACATACAAATGTTCCAGTAACCAATGTAGATTTTCCAGTAATCCCTCATTTTTCATTAAAAAACACAGATTTCCTAGAAAGTACATATAACAAGATACAACTCAAAAAGGTCTCCCTATCTCATCAGATGTGAGATTTCATACGGAATTTCTCGGGATACTCCTATAGTCTTGGGGTGTCATGCGTTCCTTGTTTTTAACGTTACAAGTGCATCCCCCACCAACTACAGCCACTGCTAATGAGCGTAAAAATACAAAAACATCAACGATTGAATACTCATGAACTCTAATGCCTTTGGCACTTCCCCCTGTGGAACTTCTTCCTTGCACACAGGCTCTGAATGTGACTGAGACATACAACAACAACACATTCCAGAAACAATTGTTGTTCACAGAAAAGAGAGCTGTGCTTTTTTGTCTGCGAGACAGTGTACTGACTGCGTCAAATGAACCTGAGTCACTTTTTTGGCATGCTGTATATAGGCAATGAAGGAAGACATCTCAAAACACCCCTAGTACATAGGACAGCCCATGGGAACTGATAAAATCTTGCAAGATGGGGTGACTTTTGTGAGTGGTTTCTTTAATAGTGCAATAAAACACAAGCTCAGAGATTAAGCAGGGCACTCACATTTGATAAATATTTAAAAAGCTTACCTGGATCTGTAGCGAGAATAAAATGGTGATCTGAAGTGACAAATAAGAAGACTCCGCCAGCGTTGCTGACTCCACAGCCTCCCTGGCTGACTCTTGCGGCAACAAAAACACCACTTGAGGCATTCACAGGAGGGAAAGTGAAGTCAATTTCAACAAATATATCATCCCTGCAGAAACAAAAAATAAAGCAAATAATACGTCTGGAGATTAAGATTAACTTAAATATTATGCAAGCCAATGAATTAGTGAAATTATTTATTTCACTCCTAAATATTTATACAGAAAATATGATTTTTTACTGATTACTTCAAAAGCATGAAAAGGTTGTATTTGTGGTTGTGTTTGCTGTATTTGTGGCTTGGAACATTCATTAAACTGTTTTGTTTTGTTTCATGTGAGCTTTTGTCTTAACATTACTTTACAAACAGGTATAAGTTTATAATATATTAAAGGACTGATCTATGAACTTTATATAAACATTTGGAAAACTAACTAACAGAAAAGAAAGAAGACCTGAATTTTAATTCTCAAAAGAACCAGCAGCTAAGCAAACAAAAACACAAAGGGAAAGCCAAAACCGTGTGGAATAAATTACCATTTTATTCTATGTAGAAGAACGTACATACTCCATTTTTGTTTTTTACATTTAAAATAGGGGGGGGGGGGGTGGGGAGAAGAGTAATCTTATACACTGAATATATTTTATTTAAAATATTTATTTCCTAATCTTGTTTAAAAAGCAGATTGTTTTATACTTGGGGGTGTCTCATACACAGAAAATACAGAAACATAGCACACTGTGAAAGTTGAGGGGGGGGGGGGGGGGGGGGGGGCCTACTTACCACATGTTGTTGCCAATGAGGGTGATTCCTTTGTTTATTGTATCAGCCAAGCACCAGTTCTCCCAACGTATGGGTCCACTGAGCACCATCTGCCTGACAAACTGATTGCTTCCATTTTTCAGGACCTCAAAGGATCCCGTCTGCTGGGCCAGGTTGTAGGGTTCATCATGTAAATTATTCGCTGAAGACAAAAATGAAGAAATAATTGTAAATGTGAACAGCACAAACATAGTAAATATGAATACAAAAAAATTATAGCAATAATCAATGGCAGCGTGCCAAAATCATTGGATACTGTTGGAAAACCGATATAAAATGTCAGCAGGTGCTTAGTGTGATGAGCGGGAAGGGGGCTGCGTGGTATCCAGGCATATGTCCGCCTGAGTGCGAGAGGTTCTGGGTTCATTCCCCCGATAAGGCTTGGGATTTTCTCCTGTGGACTTGGACTTCTAGAAATTCCCCCTTGGTCTCTGGGTAATAAGATCTAACACCCGTGTGCATTGTTGCAAACGTAACAATTTCCTTGGCAGTTGGAAATTGAAAAGAGTAGCCTGATGGCACTGCCCGTGTAAAAATCTGGAGTTTAAAATCTACCCAAAGTATTTCAGGATTCTTGCCGGTGCTACAGAGCCTGTGCACTGTACTGAGCTTCTTTGGACTCAAACTTGAGTTAGAAGAAGAATGGAGCACTTATGGGTTACTACTCGTGTGCCATGATGATGATCCATTGTTCAAACATCAAACTTGTGCAGGAGAGATCTGGGTTCAAATCATTAGGAAGATAAGACATATCTTGTGGCAGAGACAAAAATAAAATTCTTTTTTGTATCAACTACATTAGTCATGTGGCAACAAATCTTCATTGCCAAGACTCACCACCCAGCACCGCCAAAAACAGTGGTAAATGGGAGCATTGGGCAGATTTTTCTTTATAAGAGTGTTAAACAAATCAGGGGAAAAGGGAGAAAAAGATGAGATAAAAATAAAGAAGGGATTATGCTCATACTTTACCTTCGAAATCATCCTTATAAGGCAGCGGGAATGGACTTGAAGGTGGTGGTGTGGGATAAGATCCTTTCAACCCAGTGGTCAGTGTGGTCAGTGTGTAGATCTGGTCCAAGCCTAAGCTGAGCTGGACAACACCATTGACAACCTGAAGGGTAGATAGAGAAAAAACCAGGGGTAGGTTATTACACTAGACATGGTGGGTAGAAGTCCTGCAGAGAGTACACACATTCGTATCCTGCATACTCTGAAGTGCAAAACAGGCACAGCAATAGGAAACAAATGGATTCAGGAAATGTGGACATCCTAGAGAAACCCTAAGATAAACAATGAGAGGCCAAGGCTGCTGAACAGGGGTGCTCATTACTAGAAGTCCAAGTCCACGTGAAAATATCCCAGCCCTTACCAGTGATTGAACCCGGAACCTCTAGCACTCGGAGCGGACACCATACCTCGAGACCATGCAGCCCCCTAGTCTTCCTGGATAAGGGCAAAACACCAGGGAATGAATGGTCTTGAGGTATGGTGTCTACCTTGAGTGCTAGTCTTGTATATTATCAATCCTTTCTCACACAAAATCTTCCATGCCATGATGTCAAACTATCCAGCATTTTCTAACTCTTCCCTCCAACTTTCCCATCGCTACAATGTATGTCAGTTTTGCCCTTCCCACGACATGACCAAAGACCCCAAGAAAATGATTACAAACAAAAATTATTAAATAATGCGGATACAAACAATACATTGCACAATTTATTGCCAGGCATATTTCGCTTATCTCATCAGGTAAATTACTACAGAGTTGCATCAACATAAAATAAAGTAAAAAAAATTATTAAATCACAAACGATAAAAATTACAATAAGAAAAACAAAAGCGAAAAAAAGCAAAGGCAGTCAAAATACAGATAAGAAAGACAACTGTAGAAAAAATGATAACAAAAAAATGGAAAAGAACTTTAGTAAGGTCGACTTGTACAGGACAAATGTACCTTGACTGGACCTTGGCTGATGAAAGTGTTGCTCTCTTCCTGGCCAAAAATCAGCTGCGTGTACCAGAGGTGAAGTTCAGAAATGTTTGCCTGAAAAATGTAAATCACCCATGTGTTACTGGGGCACATAAGAGAAGCAAAGGAGAGTGATACTGTGACTTTTGATACATGTCCCAAGAGGCAGCTGTAGAAGGTTGGTGTAAAACTGGCTGCCCAATCCCAATGAAAATATTAGTAGCAAGACACAACTGAAGTTAAATTGAAGCTTTATAGATGGCCCTGTGTGAGAGGCAGAAAAAGTCATGGGGTTCATGGAAAAGTGAATGAGTCTCACATAGTGCAGCAAAGCCTGGCATGTGATACCACAAGGTCTAGTTTGAGAATGGAGGTGGAGGTAGTCACTGCAGCTTTCTGCTGGTCTGAAAACCAGCTGCTCTACACACATGTTATAATAGTAACTGACTCACACAGCATGTTGAGAAAGGTGGAGACAAATATGCTCTGTGCAGAGAGGCAAGCACTGCTTCAGAGGTCCTAGGTAGGCCCTGTGAATATTTTCTCTGGGTTATGCTTGTATGTTTGGAAATGAACAGTAGATAGACTGGCTGGTTTGCACCAGTTGGTGGTGAACTAATGAATGACAAGATAGATATTTTAAAAAGTCCTTTGAGAGTGAGCGAACAGTGCTAAGCAAAAACTAGGAGTGAGTAAACAGTGCAGAACTGTCAAACATATCATCACGGTCTAAGGAAAATGGTGCTGTGAGCATGGATCTGGCTGACAACACTCATGGGAAAAGGTGAGACAGAAATACAGTCAGACTAACTGGTGCCATGAGAACTAGAACTTTGCTTGCTGCTAAAGATAGGGGCAGAGTGCATATGGGAATATCCCTGAGTGCTGTGATGTTGATTCGTATTTCAGCATTCAATAGAAGTTAAAGTCGAGAGGTTAAATTTCCTTACACCTGGTTATCCCATATAGCACAGTCTTTCTCTGCAGAATGGTATAGCCACCTGTTGAGACCACTGCACAGAGCAGAACTGTTAGCCACCTGTTGAGACCACTGTACACAGCAGAACTGTTAGCCACCTGTTGAGACCACTGTACACAGCAGAACTGTTAGCCACCTGTTGAGACCACTGTACACAGCAGAACTGTTAGCCACCTGTTGAGACCACTGTACACAGCAGAACTGTTAGCCACCTGTTGAGACCACTGTACACAGCAGAACTGTTAGCCACCTGTTGAGACCACTGTACACAGCAGAACTGTTAGCCACCTGTTGAGACCACTGTACACAGCAGAACTGTTAGCCACCTGTTGAGACCACTGTACACAGCAGAACTGTTAGCCACCTGTTGAGACCACTGTACACAGCAGAACTGTTAGCCACCTGTTGAGACCACTGTACACAGCAGAACTGTTAGCCACCTGTTGAGACCACTGTACACAGCAGAACTGTTAGCCACCTGTCGAGACCACTGTACACAGCAGAACTGTTAGCCACCTGTTGAGACCACTGTACACAGCAGAACTGTTAGCCACCTGTTGAGACCACTGCACAGAGCAGAACTGTTAGCCACCTGTTGAGACCACTGTACAGAGCAGAACTGTTAGCCACCTGTTGAGACCACTGTACACAGCAGAACTGTTAGCCACCTGTTGAGACCACTGCACAGAGCAGAACTGTTAGCCACCTGTTGAGACCACTGTACACAGCAGAACTGTTAGCCACCTGTCGAGACCACTGCACACAGCAGAATTGCAAGACTCCAAGAATCTCAGCAAAAACTGCTCATAAAATTATAACAAATCCCTATGATATGACCCTATGACCTTCATAACACAAGGCAAATGGATGATCACTTCAGCCTGGAGGACCCAAAGCACCCCCACCCCCCCCCCCCCCAATGCCCACCTGTAACAACACAATCACAAGCAGGCCTAAAGAGGGTTTAAAAAAAGTTCATTTAGCTAAGACGAAAACAAATCCAACAAGAATCATCAAATACGCACAAATTCTCCATAAATCGTATCTTAGGAAGTTATTTTCAAATAATCTTTTTATTTCATGATCGGATTACTTTTTTAAAATAATTATATGTAAACACAATGCACTTAACTAATCTAATTTAACTTTGTGTGTGTGGACAGATCATATTTAAGGAAGTTATGTGTAGCTCACTATGTCGCTATTTCAATATTTAAGACACATAGTAGTATCAGACAGAACATGTGACCTGGTGACAAACAGAAAAATCCACAAATCCACATGTTTTTAAAGATGGCAGGATTAAAAACACAAAGAATATCAAAAACAATTACTGAAGTTAAAACATTTATTAACCAGCACCCATTCAGAATTCTGAAGTGATTGACAATGTTCATGCACAGAAGAAAATTTCAATAATCATCTCCCTCTATGGTTCCCTGGTTCTCATTTTTACGAAAAAAAAATAAGACTTACTGCTCCTGTAGCTCCTCATCATGTAGCAGGTCCTTTGCAGAACGTCACCCTCATCACGGTCTGCCTGTAAGAAACTTGTTCTCTCGCATGTATTTACCCAGAGTACCCCTTATATCATGTACCCATATTCACATTGGTTGGCCCCTATCACTCCTTCCGTATGGTTTTTTTCTTTCTCAATTCACTGTGGTACCTGATATGGCCAAAATTTCCCAGTTTCTGAGACAAGATAATGTTTTTTAGCCAATCTTTCTTGATGAAAAGACCTTTCAGGATGTCAGTATTTCTATTCTTCTTTCTCCACAGTATTCTAAGAATATTTCTATAGCATTTCAGCTCAAAAACCGCTCACAAGCTTATTATAATTAAGGGTTTGTTGAAATTGGATGTGTTGGGTCAAAAGGCATAGACATCACAGCCTGGCTGTAAACACAACATGCCAACCACCCCTTTAAGGGCGAGGGCAGAAGAAGCAGAGAATTAGGGGGGGGGGGGATGCTAGTGCTAAACACACACATGAACAATACCAGTTAATAGCTTACTTAACATTGTTCTCTCCCTTAAACAAACAAAGCAAAAGAAAAAAAAAGGAGATTTAGAAACTCACTGAGAAGAAATAAGCAAACATAAAAAGGCATGGAAGGAGATAAATGAAATAGCAACCAATAGAAGGACTTTGTTTGGGCGGGAGCTAATAGGAAACATGCATAGTTATAGTGCAGCATGATGGGTAACAGAAGAAAAGTCTTTTTTTGTAAAAATGGCATTGATTGGTTGATACTTACAAAATGACCTTTCAAGGTGATGGCTACGGTCTGTGGTGTCACAGTGTAAGGTGAAAGGTCAGGCCTGACACAAACTGAATGATCGTGAGTCTGCAGAGTAAAAAAAGTCATAGTCAGAATATACAATCTAGTAACAATGAAAAACCAGTGCATTTGAGTGTTGAGCAAAGAAATGACAACATAGCACTCAGGACATTCACATAAGCGTTCTGTACTCATCATCAGCAGCCAGCGAAGAGTTCCAATTTTGAAGTGCCAGAGCAGAGCAGTTTGCCTTTGTGCATTTCAAATAATTTGTATATCACATGCAACATTACTGTGTGTGAAAAATTATGATTCTAAAAACAGTGCACAATTATTTACAGTTGATGGTAAAAGTAAATTTTTGAAGCTACAGTCTAATGTAAACAGCAACGTATTTTTATCACTCACCCCTGCCATAAATAAACAGATTTATAGTTATAAATTATAGTTATTATAGTTATAAATGTAACATGTATTAAATAAAGAAGCTTGGTAGTATTTTTGGCAGAAAAACAAAAATAAATTCACATTAAAACTGTAAAATGCAAATGTTGCATATTCTTTTTGATAATTATATTTTAACATAATTAAAGTTACAATTCAATGTAAAATACATTAATGATCCATATTTATATACATGACAATGTAATTATTTAATGTAAAGATAACCTACTGAGAAATCAGTCTAGTCCGAGCAAGGTGTTATAAACAGATGACTCTGATCATTTGTAAAAAATTTGACTGGAATGAACAGTTAGTTAATGCTATTCTGAACAAACTACGCTGAGTCTGAGAAAGCAGATGATCTATTCTGAACAAACTACACTGAGTCTAAGAAAGCAAATGATCTATTCTGAACAAACTACACTGAGTCTAAGAAAGCAAATGATCTATTCGAACAAACTACACTGAGTCTAAGAAAGCAAATGATCTATTCTGAACAAACTACACTGATTTTGAGAAAGCAGATGATCTATTCTGAACAAACTACACTGAGTCTAAGAAAGCAAATGATCTATTCTGAACAAACTACACTTGAGTCTGAGAAAGCAAATGATCTATTCTGAACAAACTACACTGAGTCTGAGAAAGCAAATGATCTATTCTGAACAAACTACACTTGAGTCTGAGAAAGCAAATGATCTATTCTGAACAAACTACACTGAGTCTGAGAAAGCAGATGATCTATTCTGAACAAACTACACTGAGCCTTAGAAAGATGATGATCTATCCTGAACAAACAGTTTATCTACTTTGAACACATGGGTAATATACTTTGAGATAACAAGAGTTCTTACCATAGTCTCCACTACGATTGTGAGATCATTGCCACTGGGACTGACAAGGCTGACGTAGGACCCTCCATTTGGCAAAAAGCCCACACCGCTGCCATGCTGAAGATATTTCCAACCAGCAGAAACAAACTGAGTTGTGTGTGCTGTGGAAGGAAAAGATACAATGTTTATCATGTACATAAAACACTGCTTTATTAAATAACAATATATATTGGAATTTCAAAATATGCTAAAACATAAAGACAACAAAGATTAAGTTTCTCCTTCAGCTTCTTCTTTTCTTTTACTGCTTATGCCACGAAGTATTGCAGAAAGGAGATAGATGTAGTTTCCTGTCTTTTACTAGTTGCGTAGCTTGTGTTAATGTAATATTGCATTTATGCAGTCTCTTTTACTCCCTCTACCCATATTTTTCTTATTCGGCCTCTTGCCTTGTAGCCAGCTGTTCTTATGTAGTTTGCTCTAGCTGATGGTTAATTTTGTTAGGCATTGTTACAAATATCTCTGAATGACCTTGACTCCCAGGTCAACCCAGCCTTGAGTGGGTACCAGGGGCAGTCCTGGGAAGTAAAGGCGGCCGGCGTGATGCTGACCACATCACCCATCAAGTGCTTGATTAGTCTATAAAAATATAGGTCTAGCCCTATATGCCCAATGCACCTAAAGGCATGGGCAAGGGACCTTTTACAAATTTCCCTGAGAGAGATGACAGCCTAGTATCTAGAACACTTGACAAACTGGCCTGGTGGTATTCTCATTCACGCAGCCATTCAGGTATTTTATAAAAATTAATCTGTATTCCAAGTCTAAAATAATGGGTAGAGGAAATATTCTCAGAAGCAAAGATGGCGTTGACATACAAACCATTTAGTGCTGGTGTCTTGATCTACAAAAACATACAACCAGCACCAGATTCCCAGTTTACATAAAAGTATGAAAACCAGTCCCTGTCTTTCATTACCCTTAAAACCAGGAGAGCAAGGCCATCAACTAGAAACAAACTGCAAAAATAATTCAAAGTTGGAGGAGGAGTGGTAAGAGAACAAGAAGAGGAGGAAGGTGGATAAGAAAAAATATGTTCTGCCACAGAATATTTTTTTAAGTCTGGTTCATAAAAACAGGAAAAATACTGATATTCTACAAGGTTTGAATATTGGAGGGAAAAACTGGTTCACACATGAAATCATTTCAGAAAAGGATTTACTTCAAGCAATATTACACACGTTCCTGTGTTGGTTTCAGGACCCAATTTTGGTTATGGGGAAAAATAGACCTTGTGCCCCACTTTGCAAGCATGCCATAAGAGGCCACTAAATAGGGATGTTTTCTTCAAGCTTGGAGTTCATCTGCCTGAGAAGTGAGGAACCAGAAATATGCATACAAATATACCAGATCTGTAAAACAGATGTGCACATAAAACTCAATTTCTGGAACAAGCCTAAGGTCCAGAAATGGATAAGCTACCAGAACTTTCAGCAAGAGTTTACAGCCAGTTAGAAGATTCTTAGAGTAACATTCTGTAGAGAGCATGCTCCATGATGATTAATGAAATAATATTGAAATATATTCTAGATACCTGTGACCCAGATAGGACTGTTGACAAGATAGTGACCACTCCAAGGTTCCACAGCAGTCATTAGCCCACTTCTGTAGTAGTCAAGCCCCTGGTAATAACTGGCGATTAAGTTCCACGCAATCGTCCTAAAACAGCAACAGAAAATATTTCAGATTACAAAAGAATATTCTCTGGCAAAGGCTGATTTTTGTGTTGGAGCTGATAATTTTTTTTGATGTTTCGTAATTTTTTATTTGATCTGAAAAAATATGGCATTTCGTTTCACCAAATGAAATAAACTCTAAATATTAGGAATATATAATTTTAGTACTCAGAACTATCAATAAACTGCATTTATTTTTGTCTTTGATTTGGAGTGGAAGAATTATTTCACAATTTACACACTTTCATATAAATATTTGGTGTGACATTCTGGAGGAATAGTTTTGTTACCTCTGTTCTGTACATAATTATTTGTTGCATATTTAAAAAAAAAAAAAAAAAAAAAAAAATAACTTTCCAATACTTACGCTGTTAAATTACCATTCACGTAGTTCTGATTCAGAATCTAAGAAAAAAAAATGAAAAATATATAAATTTAATCAAATGAAATTTGAACTCAAATGTGCAGAAGAAAAGAAATGCTTATGATAAGATTTAATTATGTATGTAACTCGACATAGGAGTAATGATTGTGCACTAGCCACCATGTCTGCTTGCTAGGCCAGTAGTCTTAGGTTCAAATCCCATTGAAGTGGATTTTATACATGAGCTTAGGTTCCCAGGAAATGAAAGCCTAAAATGGGTTTCAGAAAATATGGACAGTAAAGATAGTCAGTGAGATATATCTCATCACCTACCTAGTAAAGATAGTCAGTGAGATATATCTCATCACCTACCTAGTAAAGATAGTCAGCGAGATATATGAGATATATCTCATCACCTACCTAGTAATGATAGTCAGTGAGATATATCTCATCACCTACCTAGTAAATATAGTCAGCGAGATATATGAGATATATCTAATCACCTACCTAGTAAAGATAGTCAGCGAGATATATGAGATATATCTCATCACCTACCTAGTAAAGATAGTCAGCGAGATATGAGATATATCTCATCACCTACCTAGTAATGATAGTCAGTGAGATATATCTCATCACCTACCTAGTAAAGATAGTGAGTTATATCTCATCACCTACCAGGTAAAGATAGTCAGTGGGATATATCTCAGCGCCTACCAGGTAAAGATATTCAGTGAGATATACCATCACCTACCAAGTAAAGATAGTCAGTGAGATATATCATCACCTACCAGGTAAAGATATTCAGTGAGATATATCATCACCTACCAAGTAAAGATATTCAGTGAGATATACCATCACCTACCAGGTAAAGATATTCAGTGAGATATATCATCACCTACCAAGTAAAGATATTCAGTGAGATATATCATCACCTACCAGGTAAAGATATTCAGTGAGATATATCATCATCTACCAGGTAAAGATATTCAGTAAGATATATCATCACCTACCAAGTAAAGATATTCAGTGAGATATATCATCACCTACCAAGTAAAGATAGTCAGTGAGATATATCATCACCTACCAAGTAAAGATAGTCAGTCAGATATATCATCACCTACCAGGTAAAGATATTCAGTGAGATATATCATCACCTACCAGGTAAAGATATTCAGTGAGATATATCATCACCTACCAAGTAAAGATATTCAGTGAGATATATCATCACCTACCAGGTAAAGATATTCAGTGAGATATATCATCACCTACCAGGTGGATATTCAGTGAGATATATCATCACCTACCAGGTAAAGATATTCAGTGAGATATATCATCCCCTACCAAGTAAAGATATTCAGTGAGATATATCATCACCTACCAGGTAAAGATATTCAGTGAGATATATCATCACCTACCAGGTAAAGATATTCAGTGAGATATATCATCACCTACCAAGTAAAGATATTCAGTGAGATATATCATCACCTACCAAGTAAAGATATTCAGTGAGATATATCATCACCTACCAGGTAAAGATATTCAGTGAGATATATCATCACCTACCAGGTAAAGATATTCAGTGAGATATATCATCACCTACCAAGTAAAGATATTCAGTGAGATATATCATCACCTACCAAGTAAAGATATTCAGTGAGATATATCATCACCTACCAGGTAAAGATATTCAGTGAGATATATCATCACCTACCAGGTAAAGATATTCAGTGAGATATATCATCACCTACCAAGTAAAGATATTCAGTGAGATATATCATCACCTACCAAGTAAAGATATTCAGTGAGATATATCATCACCTACCAGGTAAAGATATTCAGTGAGATATTATCACCTACCAAGTACCAGTTAGTTTATCAATATTTGGGGCTAGAATCCTAGGTGCACCTGAAGGAAATTTGGTCAATGTGGCAGATAGGCAGGTTTGCATTTTTTAGTTGTGGCAAGTGTTTTCTTCTCACAATCTTTAGCCATTGCATTTTCCTCCCTATGTAGACTGAAAGGACATAGTTCCCTCACCTGGTTATTGAGCTGAGCGCATGGCATGACACTGAACTGTGGATTTCATTTGAAAACTTTCTGCATATGCATAATGCAATGTAGATTGTGTTGTGAAATACAAACTAGGGAAATGGTGAGTGACCTGTTGCTAGAGAACTTGTGGTGCCTTTATAATAAATTATATGTGCAACTACTGATCTGCTGTTACTGCTGCTTCCATTGAGGATGAACTGCCTTTCTAGTGCTGGACTGTTTGTGTTGGCACTTCTAATATCTGCCTCATGCATTTGATGCATGTGTATGTTATTGACTTTCCTGAGACTGCTGTCTGTAATGTGTCCAATTGTTTCCCCATATTCTGTGTGATTTTCATTGGCCAGAAACAGAGCACCAAAAGGGTGACCGGTTTGCAAAGTTGGAACTGTGATGAACTGATTACTTGAAGGCAAGGAAATAGAACTCTCTGAAAAAAACTGTGCATTACTCACCCTTGCCCAGCATCCAGCCCCAAATTCATCATTGTAAGTACTGTAATCTTCAGAGGCCCACAGTGGTTTCCCAGAATTCTTAGCATCATCTGATGATGTAGTGCCAGGGTAGTGAACTCTTTAGAACAGAGAATACAGAAATATATCACCATTAAGTATTTGATGACTGTTCATCTGTCTGTGTGGTTCTCAGACAGTATAAATCATAGGGTCTTGAATTAAAAGTAACTTTTCAAAAATGTTAAAGAACCACTAAAGATATGGAATGAAAATTAAAGACATTGAAAAACAAGCTCCAATGGAAAATGATGAAGATAAAATGGGATGAATTCAGGAGGAGTGAAGAAAAATGAGAAAAGTCTGGGCAATCACTTGAATCAACAGTTATAAGACAGAGAAGATGGCGCTATACTGGACACATCCTGTAAGAGATGAATAACCAAACAAGTACTTCTTCTTCTTCTTCTGCGTTCGACATCAGTCATGCTAAACATTGAGTCCCGTCTGGGTCACAAATAGGATTGTGCATTTGAGATCGCCACCAGTTCCCCCATAGCTTCTCTCGCAATGTGGATCCCCTGGGCCAGATCCAGTCTTTGCTGGGAGAGGTAAGGGCAGTACTGTAGTATGTGCCCAGGGGTCTGTCTTTCTGCTCCACAATCACAGGCAGCAGATTCTTTTATGACTATCCTGTACAGGTGTGCTCGAAGACCACAGTGTCCAGTCCGAAGTCTAAAAATTGTTGTTTGTTCTTTCCTGTTGAGTTTGTTTATGCTGTCACTCTCTGGTCTGTAATCTCCATTCTGCCTTCTCCACTCCCGCTTGAAAGACTGCTTTAGCACTGTTTTGGTTTCCTTGTAGCTGTATGGTGGATGAGGTTGTGGAAGATTACTCCCAGCTTTTGCCAACTCATCTGCTCTCTCATTTCCTTGAATACCACAGTGGGCTGGTATCCATTGCAAGACCAGTTCTGCTTCCTTAGAGAGTATGCCAATGTTGGTCCTTAGATCTGCAATAAGTTTGTCTTGTTTTTTGCTGGATAGTGCTTGGAGAACAGACAATGAGTCACTAAGTAAAACAATTTGGTGCCCTCTGTATTCTTGAGTGATGAAATGTTGGACTGCAGAAAGGAGGGCAGTTGCCTCAGCTCTGAAGTTAGTGCAGATGTCACCTGCTGGTAGAGAGAGAGTTTCTGCTCTAGTGCTGAGGGGACAAAAAGCTCCAAGAGAAACCCTGAGGTGAAAGTTAAAGAGAAAAGCCAAAGATGCTGGACTAGATTTCATCCATAAAATTGAAATGATTGACAGGATAGAACGGAATGGAGAAATAGGGTTCACACTCTTATTTCTCCAACATGCGTGACCCTTGATGAACTCATGCCAAGACTTTTCTAGAAGATCTTGTCACTGGTCAGATGTTGCAGCTCACATTTTCTACAGGATGAGGTTTCATGCCAACCCTCCTTAGTCTCCTGCGGTGGCATCCTCAACTGCTACTATCTATAGCCTCCTTTTTTGGGTCCTTATAAAATATGGGGAGAATTTATAAAGTAATTAACAGAAATGGGGAGCTACCGTGGTGTAGTAGCTAGATGATCACCTGCGGATCTGACGGTTGTCGGTTCAGATCCTGATGGAGCCAGACATTTTTCAAATATGACCTTGGCTCCCAGGTCGACCTAGCCTTAAATGGGTGCCATGTAAAGTACTGGGAAGCAAAGGTGGTCAGCAAGATGTTGACCACATCACCCAACGAATGCCACGTGGTGTGTAAAATATAAGTCTAGCCCTATATGCCCAATTCGTCTAAAGGTGTGGAAAAGAATCTTATACTTTAATTAATTAATATAAATTACAATGTTGCTACGTTTTGCCTCCTTTGTTGGTCCTGATTACAGATGAGGAAAATTTATATAGTAATGTATATGTTAAAGTACCCAAGTGCATAGATATCATTGGCCAAGTCCTTGTCATTTTTCATGTCACCAACAATGTTCCAGTCACCGGTGTCTGAGGCAACAATCTGCACATTGTGGAACCCTCGCTGATCAAGAACTTGACGTAATGCCTGTGGAAGACAAAACAATATTTACACAAAACCAGTGCCAAACATGGACACTATCTAAAGCACATATACGCAAAACCACTTGCGAGATGAGATGCCTGAGAAAAGCAGCCAATCTAACCATCCGAGATCGAGAATAATGAAACTATTAGGCAAATTGTGGGATCAACACCTTGTACTAGATTCATCGAGAAACAGCAGATCAAGTGGTTTGGCCATCTTGCTAGAAAGCAGCAAGATCAAATATCATCACAAGCACTACATCTCAGAAAATCAGCTAGAAGAGCAAGAGGAGGCTGTGGAAAATATGGATCAACAATATTAAAGACACTACGCCTTTATGGCATTAATAATAGCCAGTGGCAGCCAGTGTGCACTGGATCGCAAATTATTTTTCCCCATAACGCTTAAAGGCAGAAGTGGTTTATGAAGATGATGATGATACAAAACTCAAAGACAGTAAGCAAAACAAACATGTCTGCCCACAATCGGCTGTCTCAACATTGACAAACCTTCCTGGCCACCTCCGGCGACATGCTCTTTGGGAGAGGGGGGAAGGGAAGGAGGAGTGGGTCTATTCTTTTTTCCCCCCACACTGGGAAGTCACAGTACACCATTTCCCATGATAACAACTGTAAGATCAAGTCAGTGTTCTTACTTAGATTATGCCTTATGACCGAGCACCCAAAGATCAGGAGAAATTATAACATCAAATTCCTCTAAACCTTGTACCCATGGCCCTTAATTGGATGCTTGGATTCACATTTCAGCTTGGATTCACATTTCAAACTTCTTATACAGGCTGACATATTGTGCAGGTGATCATTACACTGGGATACTGGGACACCCACCATTTCTGTGTCTTGATCCGGCAGAGATGAGCCATCATTTATGTGTCTGTTTTCCTGGCTTCTAATCCCACAATGCAGCACAGGCTGTGTCTACCACATGGTGCCAACATATTCTATTCTTTGCCATTAAAATAAGTTTCCTGTCTTACATCTTGTCATAATAACCTCACTGTAATATTGATTTAACATTAACCATGAGAAGAAGAATATAAACAATAATAGAGGGGATTAGGAAAATACTGAATTGAAATAAAATCTTCTGAGTTCGTCTCTAAAACGATGGTTGGCACAGTGTGTTGTGGTTTACAGCTAGGCTGTGATATCTGCACCTTCTGATTTCAGCAAATCCCTAATTAAAAGCCTTTTATGACATGCTGGTTAGGAAATAGTGGGTCTATGTTATATATATTCTTAGGGGTAACCAAGCACCCAAGGTGCTTGACTTGCTTCAGTCACATACAAGAGCTCCCTCAGATGACCAAACAACTATTAGGTTCCTACAGGAGAGGCCAACGACAATAGGAACACCACCATAAGCCAGGCACACGTAACAAGTTAGTCAAGGGGATCAATGACTCACTGTCAAGTCTACTACTGTCTTCCAAATACTCGTATCGTTAGTCTCTCCAGACATGGACAGTACACCCCAGGGAACAATGCACCAGGCTCCTGTTATGGGTGGCCCACTACCCAATCACGCAGATACATCTATGTGATGCTCAGTGACAATCCTCTGACTGAGCTGAGTCAAGAATTGACATCCCAGCACTCGAGGAATTCTCATGCATGCTCCGTCCTCATCTTAAGCAGCCTGCGCAGAGTTCCATTACTGATGGTACCGGTCACAATCTGGTTATATGTCCATCTTGCCTTTCCTCTGAGTGTAGTGAGCCCGCCAGACTCTCTGGTTACATCCAGATGCCTCATTCTCTTCAGGCCATAATAATCTTCTTTCTGTACTCATTCCATTGCTTGTTCCCAAAGGAACTCACTGTCCTCTAACTGTTGTTCATCTAAAAGACCCCACCACCTGAAGACTCAAGGTAGATGCAACACTTGGTGAAAGAATCCAGACCTATCATCTGCTACCCCAGACACTCACTGAAGTATCACTGATCAATACCCCATTAACCAGCCTCTGATACCTCCCCATCACAACTCCACTATTGGCCAACACACAAACAGTTTCTCAGTACTTTCTGTGCACTTAAGGACACCTAGTCAACCAGTGTGCCATATAGCCAGAACTGTGCCAACCCCACAAACATGGCTGACACAAGTCCATTCTAGAAATCACACTGACAGAACTCTGAAGTCCAACTCAAGGTCCACCACTGTCATCTGGACAGTTCACTCGAGCCTCAAGAATAAAACATTGCTAAAACTGTCACATGACTCAGACCGTAGGACTTGAACCATTCAAAAAAAAAATACACAAGAGTAAATTTCACATGCAACAGTCTATTCCCCTCACCTCCTCCCCAAATGAAGCCCCAGATCCCAAAAAGGAAAATAAAGAAAAACGACAAACCCGACCTTGATGTAATCTATGTTGTAGCCATTTGTATTCCATAGCTGAAAACAAAGAAACGTACAATTAACTTGACTGGTATGCTACACAATTTACTTTACTCTTTCCTTAAATCCTAAAAGACTAAATGTTTACTCTACATGTAGTAAAGATGTGATAGCCTTTGTCTTTTTTATTTTTTCCTTTATGGTAGTGTGTTGTGTCAAGCTATCCACTTCTTTCAATCAGGGATCAGTGTGTCGAGCTTCGGCATGGATTTCTGTTTGAAGGTCAGACTATTTCCTTTAGACAAACTGCTTCTAAGGCTCTAAGACAGCGGTTCTCAACCTGGGAGTCGCGACCCTTCTTTAGGTCGAACGACCCTTTCACAGAGGTTGCCTAAGACCATCGGAAAACCCATATTCGTTGAAGTTATGGAGGAAAATAAATGTTTGGGGGTCGGCACAACATGAGGGAACTGTATTAAAGGGTCACGACATTAGAAAGATTGAGACCCACTGCTCTAAGACAAAGGGCCTTAATTCAGACAAAGGGACCTAATTCAAACGTCTGAGATGTTGAGCTCAGCTGAGTTAAGAACTGAAATCACAGCACTCGAGACATTCCCATAATTTTTCTGTCCTCATTTTCAGCAGCCAGCGAAGAGTTCCAATTCTGATGGTGCCTGTAGCAGTTTGATGAAATGTTCCTCTTAAGTGTAGAGAGTTTGATTAGATTCACTGGTCACTCCTTATTGTAGCATTCTCTACAGACCATAATCTATTTATGCGTCTGCATTGTTCAGTTCCCCCAAAAGGCATTGTCAAACATCAGTTCAAACTCCATTGGTGCAGACAAGCCTGTTAATTTCTCAACACTTCCACATATAGGAATTTTATGACTGTAATGAGTGGGAGATCCCATGATGTCAGAAGGAGTCTCCAAGGGAACAGATTAGGAGGTTAAATGTCAGCTACGAAAGGATTAACCAGAAAGATTACTGGTTCACGAGAAAACGTGTGTGATTGGGTATGGGGATATTGACAGTGGATGAATTGTGTTTGAAAATCTCGTGGGGGGGGGGGGAAAGTGAATAAGCTGAAGTGAGAGAATTGTACTTCCATTCTGTGGGAGACAGCGAGGTAAAGCGGATCATGTGGATGAATTTAATCCAGACCATAATTATCTATTTGTGCCTCTGCATTGTTCGCTAACTCACATAGAGCCTTAACACATCCACCTGGTCATGCATCAATTCACCACCCAGTTGTGCAGAACCAGCAGGTCTATCTGCCTGTTTATTTACCAACACTTTTTTCTTCAATGGGCAGAAGGAGAAGACTACTCTTGAAGTCAGTGCAGTCTTACCAAACTGGTACTAGATCATCCATATGTGCAGAAGTTATGGTTGCCTGTCCTAAGTAGGTAAATTCTCTGCACCTTATAGGTCCCGAATCATTAAATTAAATTGTCTTGGAAGGTAATAAATAGAAGTGGTCAAACCACCTCATTATGTGATGTTCTAATATATACACAGCTAATTAAAAAATGTAATATAGTTATGCTGTTGTTTCATTCTAAAGTGAAAATAAAATGTATACATACCCCCAAATAGTCAATGGTCAAGTTATGGAAAGTCTTAGCACCATTAACCCATCTGACAATGTAGTCAGCCAGAACTGTGCTGTTGTTGTATGGGTTCCAGGATCCCTGTCCGACCCAGCCAGGAAACCCCCAGGGAAGTCCATACAGTTTAATATTTGGGTTTCTCTGTGTGGAAGAAAATCAATCATCAATATGAATTAAAAGCTACTTTGAAATACAGATAGAAATTGTATTCAATACAGGGCTACGAGTAAACCATGACCGGCTCCAGCTGACAAGCCATGCTGCTGACATCACTGGGTCGGGCTAACGCAGCGCTTCTCAAACAAGAAATAAATTATTTTTGACAGTGGCGAGCAAAGACAACTAAAATTTTAACTTTCAAGTATCTGCATGCCTTCTTTAATAATTTTACAATTTTAAGCAGACTTTTCCTGGTTTTTGCCAGGTACCCCTGACATACGCTCACTGTATTGTTAGCCTGGCCCTGTGACATCAGCAGCAGGGCCCGTCATGATTAAACTATATTTCTTATATTCATCTTCAGAATTCTGAGCCCCTTGAGTTTTATAGCTGCAAATATTACCTGCCACCAGTCATTTCTGTAATTGAATTCTCTTTTCAGTTGGTAATTCCAAGAGCTTGTGTAATCTTTAGCTTTTCCAAGTTTTGTCTGAATGATATTTTTTTTATTTTTATAAGGAGTAGAAAATTATAGGGAAGAGAAAAAGTTGGTAAGGAACAACAATTAGTTTATGTTAGCTTTACAAAATCGATCACAATAAACAAACAAAGGACGTTGCGGCGATTAGCCTTCATCAGCACATAAAGGACAACACAGTACACATACACAAATATGCTCTAACTATGAAGTGACTACTTAGGACTCTAATGTATAGAATAAATGATACTCATCTAGTGTCCCTGGCGAAAAAACCTCTGAATGATATTACTTTCTGTAGAAGACAAGTAATTTCTTCTTCTTACCTTTTTAGCTTCTGACATGAGCCACCATTCGTATCCTCGTTCATAGTTTTCTTCCCAACTGTTGTGCATGTGTGATGCTTCAGTTCCGTCTATTGAATGAAAAGTAACTTCAAATTAGTGAGAACAACTTCACTTGTTTTAGCATGACAGACTGAGCTGTGACCTGACAGCATGAGCTGTGGCCTGACAGCATGAGCTGTGACCTGACAGCATGAGCTGTGACCTGACAGCATGAGCTGTGACCTGACAGCATGAGCTGTGACCTGACAGCATGAGCTGTGACCTGACAGCATGAGCTGTGACCTGACAGCATGAGCTGTGACCTGACAGCATGAGCTGTGACCTGACAGCATGAGCTGTGACCTGACAGCATGAGCTGCAATGAGATTAATATTCCACAAATGTGAAAAAATACAATTTTTTACAAAAACTGATGCTGGCGCTTTTCCGTCTTTCCAGACGCCAGTGTTATATTTTGCTAAATTGAGGCAAGGGAATCATAGCACATTGTGATGGGGAGTTGATCTGATTCAAGAACCGATATCACAGCACTCTGGGCATCTCATAAGTGCTCTGTCCCCACCTCATGCAGCCAGCACAGAATTCCAACATCAATGGTGCCAGTAGTATTCTGATTATATGTCGGTTTGGCATTTCCTCTGAGCATCGAGTATCGGCCAGATCCCCTTGTCACTCCTCGCTGCATCAGTCTGGCCAGACTGATCTCCGAAGCAAAGCATGCCATTATGCACGAAACATGCCTGTCCTGACCTTTCCCAGAATGCTTTTTGAATCAGTCACAGATGGGGAGTATGACTAGCGAGACCTGCTTGCCCAGACCAGTTAAGATCATGGGTTAAGTTCCTCCTCCCCCTAACATAAACATACTTGGCAGTATTGTACAGACCATGTGTCGCTCATGCAGCAGGAAACCTCTCTTTTCCTGCTTTGTTTATTCCAAAGGAAAGGTAACAACAATATTTTGGAACACAGCAAGTTGCAGAAACTGCAGAATCAGAAGTGCGGTATTTAACAAAATTAGAATTTGAAACAAGTTAGCCATACAAATTATCAAAACAAGAATTAAAAATGGGCTAGCATAATTACTCTGTTAGGCTAGGGATAAGTTTAAAAATTAACATGACTAAAACTGTTCAAAACTACTGTTGGTAAATAAATTGTACACAAACAAAATAAGTCTTCCAGTTAAGTAAACAAAGCTTTTAATAAAGTTTTCATTCATTCATTCAGTCCAAACTAAGAATATAATTTTAAACAAAAACAGACATACCAGTACTTTGAGCATCTCCACCAATTTCAACCTTCAGAATTTGAAGCGAAGCTCCAAAATTTGGCTAGATAAAAAGTAATATTTCAAGCAATTAAAAAAATACATAATTTAAATACCCAGTTTTTAAACACTGTTGCATAGTGAAAGTACTTGTCTATAGCTAGTTACTGGCCACAAACTATTTAAAGCAAAACCACTTTAAAGTAATTACCTAGCAAGATCTCATTATTTCTTGAACTTTGATCTCATTTAGTAACTACGTTTTAACTCCTAACTTGTTTAGGACTTCTGTATTTGTATCCATCTTTCCATAGTTATTCAATTCATATATCTGTTTGCATTTCAACAGCAATAACTCTATTTGTTAATGGAGTTTATGCATCATACAATACTGTAGAGTTTAGAGAGTATATGTGGCAAATAATGGCTCCTACTTTTCAGTAAACAAGATGTTTCTTTGAATACATCACATGTGGAATACTTTCAGGACCATCTTAACTTTGATTTCTTTAATTTCTGTATCACATTAATGTAATACTATAAAGTGAAGCTAAGAAATGCAGACATTGAAGTTCAACTTCAAAAGAAGATACAGGCATTAGAAATTGGATCCATTTGAAAGATCTTTGGTATATCGTTCATACGCTATAACAAAACATGTTTCTCAAATCCTTACTCAATAAACACAGAAGAAGAAGAAGAAGAAGAAGAAGAAGAAGAAGAAGAAGAAGAAGAAGAAAAAGAAGAAGAAATCATTATAACACTGTCAACTACATGTCCCTTTTAACGGCAGTAAAACGCAAAGATGCAGACTTTTAATAAGATCTCTCCAAAATCATACTACTGGGTATCATACTACAAGGAAAGAGGAGATGAGAGAGGTCAAGAAAGACTAATCAAAACTATGGCTGACTTGATGGGTATAAAATATGAAAACATCAAGTCTGTTGCATCTGATCATCAGAAATAGAAAGAGCTGATCAGACAGTAAACACTAACTTGGTGACCCCGTAAAGCTGTCTCATTTGGCAGTCAAGTAAATTCATGTTTCGTGAAGTTACACAATGTACTTTTCATTTTCAGCAATCTAAATATATGTTTGCAAGTGTTTATTTTTGTGTGTTCATGTGGAGATGTATTTGCATTGCACTTGTATACAATTTGGCACTTGCCAGGTGTTTCAAAATAATTATTTTGCAAGAAATAATAAAATGTATCATTGACACCTTTCCATCTGTCCAGACAATAACATTATATTGTGCTATGAGGCGGCATGAGACTCACAGCCCATGGTGATGGCGAGTGTAATTAGCAAGACCCGCCCGTGTCAAGAAAAGTCTTCCCCAATTATAGCATGGGATTTCAGGACCATTGTCGTCAACATTTGTTTTTAGTGTGTGTCTTTTCAGACGCTCAGCTCTCATCCTCTCAGCAATCATTTCTTCCTTCATTCTCATTCCCTTCCAGATGTGCCCACTACATGCAGCACGGTCCATGGCATTGTGTTCCCATGAGTCCACCTCAGTACCTGTATCATTTATGTCCCATTTGTATACATCTTAGTAGATGTCAGCCTCGACATCTTCTACCCATCTTTAATTCACTATAGAGGATGTCTTTAGGGACATTCTCCAGGTGTGAGCCAGCAACCTGATCCTTCCTAGATTGAGCCATGAGAAAACTTGTAATACCTGCTCTTTCCATACCTTTCCAATCTATAGCACTTAACTAAATGGAACAAGTCTTACCAAAAACAAAAAGTCCAAGATTTGATCTTGCAAATTTTTGGGATAGTTGATTAGCAGCTTCGAAGTGGCCTACACACAAAAATGAAAAAATGCAGCAAATTAGATGACGAGTGAATGTAAATGTGATTGATAAACAAAAGACCTTCCTCCATGACTTCATTGAGGTGTTGGGAGAGTCAGCTCTTTGTAAAGCCTAATAAGTTTATTATCTCTCTCTCTCTCTCTCTAAAGCCTCTGAAAAAAAAAAAACTCATTCATTCACTCACTTCCCCCTCTCTTTGAGATTGTTCTTGATGTCTTTACTGCATTTTGTGTGTGTAATATTCTCATTGTTGTGTTGATTGTATTGCTGCAGGGTGTCTCTCCATGACGGTATCAGGGTATCCTGGTCTTTCTTGGTCTGCCTCTTCTCCTCTTTCCCTCTACTAAGCTCAGTAGAATTCAGTTTTTGAGAGGTCACTGGATCTTATTACGTGTCCGTATCATTGCATTTTCTTTTATTTTCTAGTTAAAAGAGGTTCATATTTGCCAACCTAAGGTATTGGGTAATTACATTTATATAGCGCAAATTGTGGGAACGACACCTTGTACTAGATTCATCAAGAAACAGCAGATCAAGTGGTTTGGCCATCTCGTTAGAATGCAGCAAGATCAAATACCATCACAAGCACTACATCTCAGAAGATCAACTACAAGAGTGAGAGGACGGCCGCTGAAAATATGGATCGACAAAATTAAAGACACTCTACGCCTTCACAGCATGACAATAGCCAGTGGCAGCCAACATGCACTGGATCGCAAATTATTCCTCCCCACGATGCTTAACGGCAGAAGTGGTTTATGATGATGATGATATTTATATAGCAAACCTGGTCATTTGTGATGTGTGATGATGATGACAGCAATAATATGGAGTCTGGTTCTGAATTTTTCACATTTAATATCCATGTGCACAAATAATTCCTGCTAAGTAGGTTTCGTCTGACCAGTCGAAAACATGATAAATATGTTGTTTTTTAATCTCTAAGAGAATTGCAGGTAGAGGTTAAACAGTTCATCCCAATTGTTAATTGTTAATTAAGTGATGTTAATTCTTAACATGCTATAAGTTGAATTATTATTTGAAAGCCAAATACTAATTCAGAAACCTGTTAAGTTAACCACTGCCGTTAACAATAACAGTAACAAAATGTGGCGTTTCCATTTATCTGAAAAGTAACATATAAAATGGAAATCTTAAATCTTCGCGATGCTGAATAACCAAAAGTGTTAGGCAAATATAAATATAGAGACCTAAATATCTGAAGAAAAATCAATAAATTCCAATTATAAAGTCCAGAAGAAGGGTTGAACATGATCAGGTATACAAATAAACTACTACATTGTAAAAGTATGATTTGTTTAGATATATGGATGAGGGAGGGCGGCTTTCTCTGTAGTACAACTAAAATACATCAATAAAAGTTACCCCTCCTCCACTGAGGCCTCCAATGCCGTCAAAGGTACGTCCATATCCAGGTGTGTCGTCAAAAACCAAGACGCTGATGTTACTGTCTGCCCTGGCCCGTGAACAAGTTAAACAACTTAAGACAACAACAACGGCTGCCAAAGGTGATATCATCTTGAGTTTGCTTTGCTCAGCCAACGATCTGTTTTAGAAAGTCAAAGTTTGCTCGTCTGTCTATTAGCAGTTGGCGTGTGGTTCCCGCAATTATGTTCACCCCTTTTATAACCCGCTCTCGCCTGCACGATTTGTTTATCAAATGACCGGTTTATCGTATGACGAAGTCTCATGTGATGTCTTGACCAGGCGACCTTGAAATCTCGCCTGATAAATGAGCACATTTTTGTTGGGCTCGGTGACACAGTGCCTCACAGAAACAGGTGAAAGAATTGGGGTTTAACCCCCAGGGGTTTTTACCGGATGGGGGGGGGGGGGGGCGAAGGGGGGGTGGCATATAACAGCAACCAAAAAAAACCAAAAGTTTTTAAAAAACCAATACCAATCCCTCAACACCCATTTGTGGGAAATTATATTTATTATTAAGGCCTTTTCCCGTCCTTTCAGAACCATAGTGTTTAATTGATCAGACAATCTCATATATCAGACAGTTCCATATATCAGACAATCTCATATATCAGACAATCCCATTTATCAGACAATCCCATATATCAGACAATCCCATATATCAGACAATTCCATATATCAGACAATTCCATATATCAGACAATCCCATATTTTAGACAATCCCATATATCAAACAATCAGCCCATCAGGATAGACTGAACTAGGGGGAAAGCGTCTCCAGAAAATGTGTAGGGATGTTAAGCCACCCGCCATACCACGTATATCCGGTTTTTATATTATATGTTCTTACATTTAATATTGTTTCAGATATATTACTATATTTAACTGGCATATACACATATACACTACCTTTCAGAAGATCAGCTACAAGATCAAGAGGACAGCCGCGAAAAGAATGGATCGACAAAGTTAAAGGCACTCTACGCCTTCACGATATGACAATAGCTAGTGGCAACCAACGTGCACTGGATCGCAAATTATTCCTCCCCACGCCGTTTAACGGCACAAGTGCTTAACCGTGCTTAGTCTGCAATTTAACAAAGTTTACTCAGAGGCCAACATGTCGTAAAATGGAGATCGTCGCTGATCAGTGGCCGGAGCTCCAGCACAGACGGATCATTGAAACAACTGATTTGTGACCAGCCGGCCACCTGCGCACCTTTGCAGGCCAGATTTTACCCGCAAGCCACCGGTTGAGTAACCCCGGATTATACCCTTGCCCCCACCCCCTTCCCAACACCACCAATGATGTCTTTTTTGTCAGCGCTCCTATTAGCCATTCACAGAAATAACGACGGTGTTATTGCACATTTCTCTAATATATTACCGTGGTGCCATTCTACATTCAGCTGTAGTTTTTCATCATGAAAGGTTTGAGTAGATTCTCGTTCAAGGCCCTCCAGGGACGGCGTAGGGATTACATCACAAGCCGATCTGGTTCGTCTCAAAGCGGTGACAGAAACAGAAAACCATTGGTATAACCGTCTACAGTGTTGGCCTTGGGTAGTGGATCAAACAAATTAATTTTATTTTCAAAGAGGATAAAAATTAGGCATTGACCTCCATCTTACATTCTGACTTTGTAGATTTGACGAACAGCATTTTTTTTTTTTACAAGCGCGACAAATTAGGGCGTTTCCTGTGTGTTTGTGTGTTTGTGTATGCATGATGTATGTATGTATTATTTCATTATGTATATTGTATAAAAACATAACATGCATTGTTGATAACATGGAGTTGTGGCCTGACAGATAAGGGCTTGGATGGGCTGAATGTAAAACGGGCCTGCGTGCTAAATTTATAACCTTCTGAAAATAGAATTCGTTCGGTCTTTCTCTCTATATTTCTCTCTCACTGTTCATAGAACATATTAATAATAATCATTATTATTATTATTATTGCGCACTTAAACAAGGTTCAATGTGTGTGATAATAGTTTTTAATTCTTTCACTTCAAGAATGCTTGGTTTTTTATGATCCTTTAAACAAAATCGCAAGTGATTGTCTGTACATGGTACAACTGTGAAGCCAGATTTCTTTAGCAATTCTGGCTAAAGGAAAATCTTATATAGGCTGTTAGCTGCAAAACCTTCCTAGAAAGAACACAAAAGTAACTCAAGTATTTGTGTCTGTGATGTTTGTGGTTTCACTTGACAACTGTATGTGCAGTAGGTAGTTTGCCATTGTAAACGAACGGTCTAAGCTCTATACCATTGTCGAAAACAAAGAAAACCAGTTTGCTAACAAATAGGCAAACGCCGGCAGTAAACAGGATTTTTAAAACATTTTTTTTTTCAACAAAGGAACAACAAAAACACAGTTTATCTGACGTAATCTCTCCATCTCCCTCCTTCCCTTCCTCTATCACACACACGCGCTCACACGTACACACAGGAAGCACATTTTGGACTCTTGCGGTGCCTAGGTACACAATGTAAGAGGTAGAACTGTGTCCATTTGTTCTTACCCTTACTTCGCACATGACTGTAGCTAACCCGGGGCTTTGTGTGGTCTTACAGGTAACCTAGTTTTAACCTCTTTTGAGGTTAAAGGGTGTCTATCGGCTTGCATATTGATCTGCAACTAGATGTGATACTTTTTTTTTAGTGTGTCAATCCTTCAGGTCATGTCAACCAACCAGACTAAGATCTTCTGATCTCAGGGTATTCACTTTTTAAGCAACACCCTGGTGAGATAAACAGCACGCTTGTTTATGTGTTTCGTGCATAGAAGTATGAGCGTTGAGTATGAACTTTTAGCGTTAAACTATGGCCAATACGCGACCTGTGCTGGCAATGTGTTTGTCTTTTGAAAACAACACACCGACTATATGTCAGTGGTCAGCATATACAGTCAGCCATTTGTGTGTCCTATTTCCGCAGTCACGAGAATGGGATACTTCTGCAAATTTAATGCAATGGTTAGAGTCCTGTGTCAGCTCTGTGGCTAAGTCGATGTGAACGCTTCGTAATGCCGGGGTACCGGGTTCGATCCCTGCAGGCCATGCGCCTTGCGTTGGTTTCGACAGTGGTATCAGGGAGCCGACCGTCCAGTAAGCAATGGCAAACTACTGGACGTAAATTTGCCTATAGAAAACCACACAACAGCCAGGGGCTGCTAGGGTTGGTTCTGCAACGTCATGTAAAGGATACGCAATTAATCTTTAACAAGAGTCCTGTCTCAACTAGAGCAACAGGGTACATCTGTGAGTAGCCGCAAGATACCTTAATTATAACCGTTTAAAAGGTTGAACGGAGTGAATGGCATGTGTTTCGCTTGGATCAAGATCTGTGAGGCTGTGTTGTCAGGTTCTTGTCATGACTGGGGGATAGCCGCCAGTCGGCTGATCTATCGGGGCAAAACACAGGACTAGGGGTAGGCGTGCTTACACAAGGGGATCACTGGTACCGGTACCTTGGGAGCTCAACTCACTTCAGATCGCTCCCCTGCCCCAATAATTTTGTACGGGGACAAAGAGGCGTTCTTGACCGTTTATAAAAACTTTTTTTTTAACGAAAGGATTTGTTTAAATATTTCATTTTATTTCAATTATAGCTGTACATTTATTTGCTATTCAGCATATTAACAATCATTATGAGTTGAATGACAAACAAATATAAATATAATAATATAATTGAAGCTTAGGCAGCTGAACATGGAAGTCCCCCCCCCCCCATTTCCCCCCACCCCCCAACAATAACAAAAAATAATTTGCATAGGGGAATGAGGCCTTCCTCCCCCAATAATTTTAGCAAACAGTCCTCTCCCCCAGTAATTGAGAAATAATAATTATATAATAAACGTTATTATAATTATTACTATTAACTTTCCCCCTGTGTCGGCCCGCCTGAAGGGTGGCTCTCAGCGGGTTCGGATCTTGGGGCTTTGGGCTTCACTGGGTGTGTTTACTGTCGAGGTATTTGGAACTATATATATATACATGTCAAGGCAGATGTGGCCAAGGCCCTTTGGGAACAAGCAACGGAATCAGTAGAGAAAGAAGATTATTATGACCTGGAGAGAATGAGGCACCTGGGTGTAACCTGAGGGTCTGACCGACTCAATACACTCAGAAGAAATGCAATAACCAGATTGTTACCTGCACCATCAGTATTGGAATTCTGCGCTGGCTGCTGAAGATGAGGACGGAGCATGCATGGGAATACTCAACTCAAGTATATATATATATATATATATATATATATATATATATATATATATATATATATATATATATATATATATATATATATATATATATATGATAACTATGAAGGCCGACGGAGAAACGATTATGTAATGACTCTACATCCATTATAAATCCACCCAAGTGCGGTCAAGCAGGGTTGACAAAGATACTACTCTGATTTAGATATTTGTAATAAACTTTCGCGTGGACCGAGAGAAAACACCTTGAACTAAATATTTGTCTTATCAGTTGAAAACGTTAGCTGACCTTGAATCAAGTGGCGATAACCGAGAATACGGTACAGAATTTAGGGCTATCTCATTATCACCATCCGTCTTTCAACTGAAGGTCGGGCCCGGTTCTCTAGCGTAGTTGGCTAAACCGGATTGCGCGGTGACGAACTCCTTGCGGTCCGGGTTCACTCCCGGGGGGTAGGCAAAAAAGCCACATTTCTCCCAGATTTACGGTATTTAAAAACAAACTCCACAGGGAACAAGTACAGCAGGGATCTACCAATCGTCAGTAGAAGTAATCTCTCGTCGACAAACGTTTCGGCCCACGAGCTCCTAGACGTTTTCAGAGAGTGGGCCCACCTGAGTTCATGAAGCTCAGGGTTGGTTTCCCTGCTGCACGAAATTACCGGATGGTGTTCGGATAGGAAAAAGACGACTTGGTGATTTGCAGAAGGTACTGTGAGATAAGAAGTCGTTGCGGTAGCATAAATAGAGCAGTCTGCGTACCTGGACGACCGAGCGACAAGCTTACGATTGGTATACCGGACACATGTTGGACTTTTGTTAGCAGGTGGCAGAGGAACACTGGCAGACAATTCGGACACGATGGA